CTTACTGTCAGATGGGAGTTAAAGGCAGGCTCTCCATGCGGTCTCTAGTGACAGTGAGCCAGGGGAAAGAGAGAATAGCAGTGGGAAGGTTCCTTACTGCCCAGCATAGATGAAACTTCTGGCTAGCTACTCAGTCTTCTCTGATGTCACCCTGGTACAGAGTTGGAGAACTCTGTTATAACTTGATGAGGGTAGAAGTTGAGGATCCATACCAGCTGGCATGAGTTGGGGAACAAAGTATTTCCATGGTGCTTGGCTGGAGCAGAGCCGTTATTGTATAAACATTTTGTGCCTTACTAGGCTGTCCTTTTCCTGGCCTTTTGATAGAGTAGGCTTTTTAGTCTTGCCTGCTGTTTTCCAGATTGCCAACTTCTTCATCTTCAAGTCTGGGATAAAGTAGGCAAAAAGAAAACCCAAGGAACTCACCCCATGTCATTCCTTCAGTCCACTAGTCTTTATGCCTCTTCTCCACCTTTCAGAGACTTCTTATGTTTGTTTTGTATATAACGTTCAAGATTTTCAGTTGTTTTACGGAAGGAATAAGAAATTGTACATCTATTCCATTTTCCTGAAAGCAGAAGCCCCACTTTTTAAATTGGTTCTCTCTAATCCAACCACACAAATTCCTGGAAAAATGAGGGTAGTCTATGGAAGAGATTTTTCTTTATGTAATGCTTACAAAGTTGGACCACTGAGCCAGCCATATAACAATGTTCAAATCACCTGTTAAATCAGGGTGTATGTCTTATGATATAAACTTGTGTAAACACTTGAAATGCTTATGATTTTATGAATACTTATAAATTTAACAATTTTAAAGTTATAAATTTAACAATCATTCAAAACTTAAAAATAATCGTTAGCCCAGCCCATGTGGCTCGGTGGTTGAGTGTCAACTTATGAACCCAGTCAGGGCATATGCCCGGCTTGTGGGCTTGATCCCCAGTGCGGGGCATACAGGAAGCAGCCAATCAATGATTCTCTCTCATCAATGATGTTTCTATCTCTCCCTCTCCATTCCATTCTGAAATCAATTAAAAAATATTTTTAAAGCTCATTAAACTATATTTACTTATGAAACAAAACCTCTTTTACATAATCTGATCTTTCCAAAGACACTATATGGAACTGTACAGCTAAACCCATTTCAGACTTTTGAACACATATTGTTATAATAAACAGATATTTAAATATACTTACCCAATAATAGAATAAAAGTATCTTAATAGGAAATGACCTAGAACAGTGCCTGCCAGAGTAGGCAACTCAATAAATATGTTAAATGACAAAAGATACCCTTAAAATATAGTGTCTAAAATTTTACTGTTAAAAATGAAAAGTACCTCGCCTGTTAATGTCAAACCTATGAGGCGCTATCATTTTTATTTAGTTTGTGAAACAGGCTTTCACAATTAACCAATAAAAATTATGTATCTAATTTTTATGTATCATCATAATGTATTATGTATTCTAGACTATCTCCTTATAATACATTCTGAAATGTGCCTGGCAATATGCAGATTCAAGATTTCTTTGATCATAACATTCAGAAAGACTGGTTTTAATATAGACAGCTCTAATCAGTGAAAAATAAAAGGTTCTGATGATCTAAAAAAATCATTAAGAACAAATTTTTTAAAAATACTAATACAAACAACATTTCTGCTGATGCTAATTTTTTAGGAGTAGGAATCTATAACAATAAAAGGGTAATATGCTAATTAGACCGGACAGCCGGACATCCTTCCGGACGACCTTCCAGACAAAGCTGGGGCTGCAAGGGCCAAGACAAGCCGCTGTGACTGTGAGGGCCGAGCCCCTTGCACGAATTTCGTGCATCGGGCCTCTAGTAAAATATATAAAACAATAGGAAATTGAAACATATATTTTAGCATTCTCACACTCCGTCAACATCCCAAGGACATAAATGTTAATGTGACAAAGTAGAAATAGTCCTTAAATCACCTTAATCTAATGCAGTGCTACCCAAAATCTATTCCTCAGAATCTAAGTGTCCTTTGAAATATTAACAGATGTCCCACAGAGAAAGACAAGGCTAGGTTAAATACAGTTAAACAAATTTCCCTATTACAGGAATTCTCGGGACATTTAAAAAAAAATTTGTACCATGAACTTCACAAAAAGGATTATAGTTACTGAGTTTCCCAAATTTAATCAAAGATCTCCCAAACATCTATTAAATCCAGTGGGAGACTAGTATTGAACAAATTCAATCTGAGAGATAGAGAATGTCAGAGAACCCTTAAATACTGATGCCCTACTTGGCCAGGTAAAATGAAGACCAGAAATTTCATAAGTATCATAGTTATAATAACTAAAATATAATTCAACAAGGAAAATATTATGATGAAAAGTTTTTTTAATTGGAGGCAATTTCTCATACTTATTAGAAATAAGTCTATCAATCATGCTGAAAACTCCCATAAAAATTAATCATAGATATCGTAAGGATAAATTAGCTACATGTTAATTTTATTCATATTTTAATCTTAAACATTATTCTCAAATAATTTATTTGAACATGGAGATAACACAAGTCCATGTTTTAGATGATTAAAAGTAAAAAAGCTTCTATTTTAACAGAACCTCAAATGTAACTGTCTGAAATTAAATATTAGGTGTTATTCAACCTCACTGATATGAACAGAACATACTATAAACAGAACATATAACTGTCAATGTTGTGTGTGTGTCTATGTATGTATGTGTGATTGTATTTGTCTGTATGTGTGTGTGTGTGTGTGTGTGTGTGTATATATATATATACACACATATACACACACACACACACACACATATATATATATGTATATATATATATACACACACCAAAAAAAAGAATCCAAAATTAAAAGTTACAAAATAAATTTAAGAGTTCAATTCAAATTAAGGCCAAATATTATATATAGCCTTAATGAGATTTTACACTTCTCCTTTTAACTAGATTTTTACAATCCACATTTATATAATTCTTTTTAAACATATAAACTTAACAAAATACACAATGGCAAACAGTGATATAAAAATTATTTTAGATGCTGTGTGATGATTTCTGTGGATTAAGAAGTATAGGTTGTAAGTTTTGAATTCAGAAAATAATGGGAAGTCACTTACCTCTAACTAAAGTTCTCTGAAGGTAGTATCCTCCTTAGAACCCCTATCTTGGGTAGTTTCACCTGCTGTTATTTCCCTCAAGAGATTCCAGCAAAGTCTAGGAAGTTTTAAGTTGCCTTCTGCAAGCCCTATTAGCGCATGTGTGTTATAAACCTGCTCACATACTGCCTCATAGCTGTAGCTTCCAGTTCCCACTGAATCACCACCACCACCATCTGTGTTTTAAGGGAGGATACTACCTTTGGAGGATTCCACTTAGAAATGTGACTTTTTACACTCCTTCAAAAATATTCTCCAAATAGCTCCTCTGCTGTGTCTATAATGTACTTGAGAGTGGTGGCAATTCAGTAGGTAAATAAAGCATGACAAAAAAATTGCTAAGCAATTATATTTGCTGAATACTCAACACTGCAAAAGACAAATAAAACTAGCTTCCTCAGAATATATCAAAAAACTAAACTAAATGTATACGTGAAAAATCCCTTTTAAAAAATACTTTTGTAAACAAATTAGAAGAAATATTCTATATCACTTGGGCCTACCAAATATTTCCCTAGTATATTTTGCTCAAGAAATGCCAATATTTAAAAATGAGTTAGGAAAATAAACCATTGAAAGACAAGTGCTAACTAATTTCCAATGGTTTTTCAGTATGTCACTTCTAACGTAAACTGCCAAAATAAAGAAAAAGCAAAACAAAAATGAAAAACAAAACTAGTAACTCAAACCACAGCCAATCTCACATACCTAAAATGGTAGTTTACAAAGGGCACAAAATTTTTCAAATCTACTCAGGAAGTAAACTAAAAAACAGTGGAGGAAAGAAAGAAGACCTGATCTGCCACTATCCAGGAAAGGTCTTTTACTTTGGATTCCACTCATAAAATTCTGTAATGTCTTGCTGATCATTTTCTGATAGCCATATAAAAGTAGAAGAAAACAGCAAAGGGTATCAATTTTCCTAGAGACCAGAGGACTAAATCACACATGTAGCACTATTTTAAAGTATGAACTAGGTTTAAAAACACTGATTTTAGCTACGAGCCACTATCAGTTTGTTAGCATAAATAAGGCCCAAACAACATCATGATGAAATTCTTTTTCAGATGTATTAGTTAGCTCTGAAAGTTTCTCCTGGCTCATAATAGGTTCTAAATAAATGTTTCAGAATTCTCTCATTTTAAATATCAACGTAACTCCTTCTGTGACTCTCCTTTCACATAAGTAAACACACATAAGGATAAAATGCAATAATAATAACAAAATGCAATTAAGAAATGGTTAACAGGAAGACTAAGAAATCTTAATCTCCCACTTACATACTCAATATATAAATAAACTAACCATATATAGTTCTGATTCTTCAAATTATCTGTGCTTCTTAAATGCATAGATTTAAATTAAATTTTAGCATAGGAATGCTCCTTTAAAAATGTGGCCTCTGCTTATCATTAAACCAAAGGTTATTTTTCCAATTTTAAAAGTGTATGGAACAAAATGTCCCCAAAACAAAATGTACTTCTCAATGCAACAAAAGGTCACAAAATAGCATTTATGGAACAGATTGTTTAGAGGTAAAAAAAATAAATAAAGTGAAATAATCTAGTCAACTATCAGAAAGAATAAAACACTGAGCCATGAGGCAGTACATATGCATTTACTTTCCCTCATATACATGTATACATGCACTATTAGGACTCACTGAAGGGTCAAAAATCTTCTAGATCTTGCTAGTTTAAATGCAGGAATGATTAACAACCCAAGAAGGTGTATCTAGGATGATACTTACCTTATGAAAGATTATACCACTGTGCTATTATGTATTCTGTGTATGATACACAAGCAGTCAGCGGAAAGGTACACACCACACTAGCAAATGCTTGGCTGGACCCATAAGGTCGGATGACCAATGGAATATCAAGATATGTGTCGATTCTCCAGCCCTCATAACCACATTCCAGACATCTCACGTAGTCCTTCAGCTTGCCTTGATATAGTTCGTTTATAAGATCAGCCTAAAAATAAGAACATTTACATTTTAAAGTGTTCCTTAAAAATAATTTTTTTAAAAATGTGAAAACACAATTCATGCTTTTAAATATGAATTTCAAAAGGATATTCATTCTTACTGAAGTTTCAGAAAGCTTTAAGATTTGTCTAAAATTCTATTGAAAAAAAGTCAAGGCTTGATAAAAATCAACTAAAAATCAAAATTAGATTAACACTAATTTAAAAATCATGTACAAAAATTACCTATTTCAATTATCATATACTAGAGGCCTGGCGCACGAAATTCGTGCACGAGTAGGGTCCTTAGGACTGCCTGGTGATCAGGGATGATTGGGGCCTTCCAGCTGACGGCCGGGGCCTCCCTTCCCTGGCTGCCAGCCAGGGCCTTTCTTCGTACCACGCCACCCCCTGGTGGTCCGCAAGCGATCAAACTCCTGGTCTCCCAGTCGAACTCCCGAGGGGACCCTTTGCATATTAGCCTTTTACATATATAGAAGATTAAAAACCCCATCATTAAACAATGTTCTGTTGAAATCAGTTACCAATTTATTATACTATTAAGTGTCATATCTTTTCATTAGGCTGAAAATACATCCTAATCTATCACTTTAGGTACATTGATAATTACACAATTAAATAACTGGCTGTTTTTATAGCTTTACATATGCATATCACCACTCTCACAATAATATATTCATATTTTTAAAATAATATCTGCTAGCACAAACAAAACTTTTTAACTTTCAGTAACATATATAAAATTATTTTTAAGGAGGTTATAATTTTCTTTTAATGTACAGAAATTTTTTTAAAATCTTAAATTCCATCTCCCTTAAAATATCCTCACCTAAAATAATGGATCTCTTGCCTGGCCCAAAGAAGGCACATAACTCCCTAAGTAAGGAACCTCCCTCCATGTGAATATCTTGCCTCAAAATTCTAGTACCCAAACTTTGGAACTGAGCAGGAATGCCCCAGCTGCCCTTAATAAAAGTGTTAACCCATAGAGGGATGTAATAAGAAGAAGGGTAACTTCAGACTTATGAAGAAAAAAAGAGGCCACTAATACCATTTATATAAATTATTAAAATACAACCCCACAGGACTGTTTAGAGAAACTAGATCACTAAATAAACTTAACATATTTTCAAATCTCTTAAGAAGAAAGCACATTATAGTTTACCTCTCATAAATTTAAATCTCTTCTAATATCTAGGACTTAATAAGCCTTCAAACTAGGATCCACCTTCATTGTCTACTCTAATATTTAATGAAGTCTTCTTCATTCTCCTGTCCCAGTCATATTTGATTTTGTCTTCTCTATAATTCTGTAGTGGTTCAATCTAGTGTTTTTCAAACAGTTTCAATAGCAACCCACAGAAAGAAAGTAATTTTCATTGCAACCCAGTAATATAACTGTAACAAAAGTTACATAACAACACTTACCCTTACTTATGTGATGCTCTCTTATTTTCCATTCTATTCCTTTTTGTTTTGTTTTTAAGTGCTGGTGTATATTTACTAAACTGATTTCATAAACCATGAAGGGATCACAATCTAGTTTAAAACCTCTGGCCTAAGCCACCATAATAGTTTCAATGAGAAAACAGACCCTCCAGGCTGTTGTCCAGATTCTCTATGATCCTCTATCACTGCACCCAGTATAAATCCTCTGTGCTGAGTCCTCAGTCCCATCAGTTCAGCCTTACTCCTCATCCCAATGACATATCTAAGGTTTTTTCATTCTTCTAACCCATTCCTCCTTCCAGTGGATAAGAAAAATAGGGTCAGAACAACAAGGATCCTAAATGTCAAAAGCATATGACTATGGTCAAAAATAAGGTAACGCTTGATGAATATACTTTGTAACGTGCTACAGATTACAAGACATATGTTGTACTTAATGAATATCTGAAAATACTGTTCAAAAATCGTCTCCTTGCCCTAACCAGTTTGGCTCAGTGGATAGAGCGTTGGCCTGCGGACTCAAGGGTCCCAGGTTCAATTCCGGTCAAGGGCATGTACCTTGGTTGCGGGCACATCCCCAGTGGGGGGTGTGCAGGAGACAGCTAATCGATGTTTCTCTCTCATCAGTGCTTCTAACTCTCTATCCCTCTCCCCTCCTCTATAAAAAATCAATAAAATATATTTAAAAAAATCATCTCATTAAATCATGCATACCACATGTATGTATGCAGGTATGTATGCATACACACACACACACACACACACACACACACACACACACACACACACCACACTCATATACATAAGAATTATGTAGTTTTGCCGAAACCGGTTTGGCTCAGTGGATAGAGCGTCGGCCTGCGGACTGAAGGGTCCCAGGTTCGATTCCGGTCAAGGGCGTATACCTGGGTTGCGGGCACATCCCCAGTAGGGGGTGTGCAGGAGGCAGCTGATCGATGTTTCTCTCTCATCGATGTTTCTAACTCTCTATCTCTCTCCCTTCCTCTCTGTAAAAAATCAATAAAATATATTAAAAAAAAAAAGAATTATGTAGTTTTTAGCTAAAAAGAAACCTTCTACTAGAGAATAGAGCCCAACTTCATTATTATAAAGATGAGGAAACTGAGATCTACAGTGGTTTAATGAGAATTTTTATTATTTTTTATTAGGTTCTCAGTTAATGGCCAACTGAGAACCTAGTATTTTCAATTCCCCATTTAGTATTTTCACAACTGAACTATGAGCAAGCCAAAACATTTCAATGGAATAAAAATCCCTTTATGGTAATGAATGATTTATTAGAAAACACTCCCCTCAACTTGAGAGAGATGAATTACCTGTTCTGTTTGTTTCCATTTCTGTTCCAAAGCATCAAACATGACTCTGCACAGTTCTTGTACATCATGCTGCTGCCAAGCTATTTTAAGACAAAATTTAATTAAAATAGCAATATATTTAGTGTAATAAAATGCTAATTTGTTGTTTAAAGACGAATTTGTCAGAAACATGGAAAAGTCTACACAAACTGCTAAAAAAATACACATTATAGTCATGAAAAAGCAATTACAGTAAAGAATGAAGAGATCTCAACATTTACAGATAACATATGCTTTATGGTGCTATGTGTAATATTTGCTATTATTCTTTTTTTTTTTTTTTACTATAGAGTTAAGAAAAATCTAAGATGACAAATTTAAAAAATTTTAGTTTAAGTACACATAGAGTATAACCAAGTGTATTTTAGAGGAAATTTTTAATTAATAAAAAATTTAGCCCTGACCTATCTTGCTCAGTTAAGAGCATTGGTCCGAGGACCAAAGGGTCGAGGGGTTCAATTTCCAGTCATGCAAGTACCTCGTTAGCAGATTCAAACCCCTGCCCCATCAGGGGCAACCAATCGATGTGTCTCTTTCACATGAAAGTTTCTCTCCGCCCCCACCCCCCCCTTCCTCCGCTCTACTCTAAAAATCAATGGAAAAAATATTCTCACTCCTGGAGTGAGGATTTAAAAAAATACATAATAAAAAATTTATCCCTCAGAACTTAAATTTTAAAATAAGTTATTTTTAAATCCCAGCAAAAAGAGTGAAAATGTTTAAGGTAAAGTTAATTAAGTTCTTAATTTGTGTTATTTTGCTATTTGTTTATAATACTGTCTGCCAGAATTCCTTTGAATATTAGAAATATTTATCATTACAAGAGAATTAGTACCCTCACTACTATCCCATCCAAAGCTCCTTGTAACATCTGTCGTTTCAATTGCTCTCTTTTTGCTGGTTTGTAACAAAACAAAAAGCCTTTGTAGTTGGTATGGTATACTGGTCACTGGATCTTCTTCAGATTCTTCAAACTCCCACCTATTGAAAAGAAATGATTAAAAATTATTTATAAAATATTTTTATTTGTTAAAGCATAATTAATATTAACATCACAGTAATGTAAGATCATATATAGACTATGGATATTAACTGAAGCCATTAATACCTAATGAAATACTAGTCTTTCAAGAATTCATAAAATTCAGAGGAAATTTAGACATTAATAAGAAAAAAGACATTAGAAAGCAATATGAATGAAAGACAAAGCACATTTAAAAGTAATTGTTAAATTTAATCAAGACTTTTGTTCTAATTATTAATTCACAAAAAATACAGGGAATAGAACAATAATTAAATGACACTATGGCATTCAACCATCAAAATCCAAACTGTTGAAATTACAGGACAAATGAATATATATTTTCAAGAAATAAATTATAAGGGGGGGAAAAGATAGAAAGGGACTAAAAATAGATTAAGGGACTTATCAATCTATTTGAACAGATTTTTATAATTTAGGTGATATGATAGGGGTGAGCTTCCAAAAAATTAGAGTGGAGGATTACAGAATAAAAAAATTGATCATGAGTTGATAACATTCAAAACTGATGATAGGTACAGTTACATTCATAATAACATTTCACTATTTTTTAATGTTTGAAATTTTCCTTAATAAAATGTTTTAAAAATTAAGATAAAGTAATCCAGATTCGGTATTTATCCTCAATATACTTCTGATAAACATTACTCTAGCCCTAACTACAAGGACTGTCTCAATAAGAAGCAAATTCCTAATCAAAGAATTTAAGAGCTCATTGAAAAATAAGATTTGGTGGGATTAAAGTTTGTAATGTAGCCACAAAAGTCCTTAAAATAATTTATATACAATAAAATACAATGCCAAAGACAAAATTAAATAAGGATATATTAATGATTCTCTTTCTCTTCAGCTGGCAATAATATTATTACTTCCCACTTCCTCACTAGAACTTTCTTAGTTTCAGAGAAGGATGCAACATTTACTTTCCTGTAATGCAAGTTATATATATACTAAAAATCTTTCTCTTTTTCTTCTTCTTTTGGTATGTCCTTCTGTTAAAGTATTCAATACTTTGCTTATTTAGGGCTAAGAAATTGCAGTTCTGAGTCCTGTTCCTTTTTTTACACACAGAAGCTCCCTTCTGTTTGGAAGGTGTCAGTGGAATACATTTAACTTTTTTCTTCTCAAAGCTTCCTTGCAAACACCTCAAGTCATTATCACTTTTGTATATTCAAACCCTAGCGCTCTTTTATTCTTTTTCTCAATAGAAGGGATTTATACTTGACATTATGGGATCTAAAATTCCCCCAGTAGCTGTAAAAAAACAATGAAGTCAAAATACAGAATGCTTAAATTTCTTGCTAGAGAAATTCACTTAGTGGGGAGGAATTACTGTAATATACAACTGAATTCTCACCTGTTCTTTAGGCCTGGTATAAATACCTTAAAAAGGTGTTTGTTTGTTTTTTAAATATGTTTTTATTGATTTGAGAGAGAAAGGGAGAGGGAGAGATAGAAACATTGATGAGAAATATCAATCGGCTGCCTCCTGCACTTCATCTACTGGGGATCGAGCCCAAAACCCAGGCATATGCCCTGACTGGGAATCCAACCAGTGATCTCTTGGTTCATGGGTCAACACTCAATCACTGAGCCACCCTGGCCAGGCCTTAAAAAGTTTTTTCATCTCATTGGTACTTATTGTTACTCTTGTCACCTAAATTAGAAACTTTGGTGCCATATTTGATTCTTCCTTTTCCTTTATTCCTAAATAAAATTTGTGACTAAGTCATATCAGTTTTCAATATGAAATACCCACTGCCACCAACTTCATTTTGACCCTCATTTAACCATGTCTGGTTTAATAACAGATTCCTTCAGGGTTCCCAATCTTTCAAATCAATTCTGCATGCTGCAATATATAAGCTTTCCTAAAACAATGTATTTAATGCATCAGTTATATGCCTCAACATCTAAAGTGGTAGAGTCTCTGTTGGCTATCATATAACAAGTGAGGAAAATAAAGAAACAGAACCCTATCCTTTCATGCTAGTGCTACCCTGTCTGTAATGCAGCAAGGTCCAGCCTTTTTAGAGTCATCCTTTCTTTGGTTCGACATTATCAAACATCATCAGGCTCTCAGGCTTTGTTTCCCAACCGACAATAAACATCACTCTATTCTCACAATCCCCATGGCATTTGGCCTTCCTATTTAACCTTATGTCTCACTGCCCCCCCTCACCACTGGGTTCCAGTCACAATGGATTTGTGTTTCTAAAAGGCCTTTGCACTTGCAGTTCTGTGTTGAATGCTCTTCTTTCAGATCTTCACCGGACTGGCTCCTGTGAAGTCTAGTCACATGGTAGTTCCTTAGTATTCCCTGACTACCCCACCTCCTGACAGTTACTCTATCCACATAGCCCTGCTTTATTTTCTTCATGACATATATGACTATGCAAAAGAACTCATTTATATAAGCTGACTTGTGGTAGCTTGAAGGGAGGGACTTTGTCTTATTCACCACTGTCATTTCAGTGCTTAATACACAGTATGTACTCAATATATATTTGTTGAATGAGTAGACCTGGCTATGCTCTTAGTCTTCTCCACCATGCTATATATTTACAGACCACTTTCAAGGATTAGGAGTCGTGGTTAATCTCCTGGAATCCCCATTCTATGCACTACGTGCCAAAGCAGGCACATCACCAGACTGTTTAGTATGTTCTAGTTTGAATGGCAGGCTCGACTCCATATCTTAACCGCAACTTTTAGTACTCTGACAAAACTCCAATTATGCTACCTCTAGAAGACTCCTACGGCATATTATCCTTACTGGCATCAGCTACAGTACAGGCAGAATAGGGAAGGGATTCTGCTATCTACTGGGTGTGTACTTCTAGCATTGTGGCCTCTGGCAAAGTACTTAACCTCTCTGTGCCTTCAGTTACCTCCTTCGTAAAATGTGGATAATAACATTGTGTAATTCATACAGTTACCATAAGAATTAAATTAATCTATATGTAAAGTGCCCAGCACAGTGTCTGATGCAAACTAATAATAACTAACATTCAGAAAACACTTATTATTACTCATTTTTACTCTCGAAAGTCCCCCCATCTGTCTCTTATCTTCCCAACCTGGTTAAACCATACCTACCTTCATGACCCCAAATTCCACTTTCTACATTAAGCCATTTCTCCAAGTTTCCTTAATCACCCTGCTCACTAAACTCTCATGGTATTTAGCTATTCTTAAATGTTATTTAAACTATTTCATACATACACATGTTGCTTTTGTAAAGCAATCTGTCACTTACTCAAGAACAAAGACCTTATTTCTAACTCCATTTCTATCCACCAAGTGCCTATCATATAGACACTACTGGGTAACAAATACTTGCTGAATGAAAAAAAATGTCAACTTTTATAAGTAAATTGAGCTTACACATGAATGCAGCAGTAAAATAATGTTGTTTGAACAATATGACCAATATTAAAAGTTCCCAAAATACTTTAAATACATATTTATAATAATTTAAAAGATGTTACTCAAAAGTAACATGAAAATGGAAAGAAGTCAGTTTATTTGTACTTTAAAATGTCTTTGAAAAAATAAAAGTTATGTGTAACTTAAAGAAAACATACGCGGTGAGGATGTATTAAATGTATTATCATAGGCATTCATAAAAATAAATGCGTGACTTTAGGGTTTACTTACATATGGACTGCCTTCATAAAGCATTTTAAAATATCTGATGTATATACAGTCTTTTAAAAACACACACACACAAACATAAAACACAGAACAGTTGCTTTATATCTTAATTAGAAACAAAGTTTATAAGTTTAAAACTACAACTTTGCTTCTTAATTGAGAAGTGAGGGAAAGAAGTGGTTTACATATTCAGATTATCTCAAAAAGATAACATATTTCTTCATAAACGTGTTAAAGCTATAAAGGGAAGCTTATAAACAATAATTTATCCCAAATGTAAATCTCATCAATTGTATCTTTTGCTGTCTATGAACTTGATTCTCACTCCTCATAAGTTTTTCATATGCCAATCTCTCCTACAACGCTTTTCTTATATATTATTCTGATGTGTTTTATGAAGTGAAAAATGCCCCAAACTTTACAAGTAACTGTAAGAAGATAAATTTGATTTTATTCATTAAAAACTATATTTTAATTTCTAATCAGTTTTAGTTATAGAATTTTTAAAATACTTACTTATATAAGGCATTCCTAAATTCAGGAGTCATAAAAAGTGTTTGCAAAAGGCTATTCAAATAGCAAGTCATTGCCTGGTTTACTAATCCCACATAACCTTTAAAAAGAAAACACAAATATACATTAGTCAGCATTTATATTTAAAAAATAACAAAAAGAACTTAATAAGAATTTAATGCTCAGTATACTTGGAGAGGTTAAGGTTACTTAGTTGGAAATTATTTCCATTCTTTCAACAGCACCTAAGAAATATGTGCACTATGCAAACCTTGCTTCTCAGAAAGTCAGGATATTTTTTTATATGTCCAGAGATATACATGGATATTATGTAGCATTTAATAAAATTTTAAGAGAAATATGTTTAATATTATGTTTAATTGACATAAAAATAATCTAAAAGTTGTGGTTTAAAATGGAAAAGTACAGCCGAAACCGGTTTGGCTCAGTGGATAGAGCGTCGGCCTGCGGACTGAAAGGTCCCAGGTTCGATTCCGGTCAAGGGCATGTACCTGGGTTGTGGGCACATCCCCAGTAGGAGATGTGCAGGAGGCAGCTGATCAATGTTTCTCTCTCATCGATGTTTCTAACTCTCTATCTCTCTCCCTTCCTCTCTGTAAAAAATCAATAAAATATATTTTTAAAAAAAAATGGAAAAGTACAAACATATTCACTTTATCACACACGCCCAATGTAGGAAGACTGAACTGAACCAGTTATCTCTGTCATCAGGCCCTATAACCCAATTTCTACCAGGAATTAATAACATATGAGATAAACTCATTATATAAAACTCAGGATGACTTCGTTTATTTTAACATGCCCATAAAGTATGAGACTCTACAGATCAGCATTGCTATGCAAAGAGTAAGAAGAGAAGTAAGAGATGGAAATAGGAAAGATCAGAGGGAGGGAGAAGAGGAAAAGAAAAAAGGAGAAACTTATATGAACTTAAAATTTAAGCTGGTGAGGATTGTGTCCTGTTAGCTTGAAGCCACATGGAGGGAGTTCATTAAATATTCACAAGTGCTTTTCAAAAAAATAAAAGTATTTAGCTTTATATATCTAACTAGAGGCCCAGTGCACGACATTCATGCAAGAGTAGGCCTTCCTTCCCCCAGCTGCCAGCACCAGCTTCCCTCTGGCACCCGGGATCTGGGCTTCCCTCCAGCAGCCAGCAGGCACCCAGGACCTGGGCTTCCCTTGCAGCTCCGGCTTTGTCTGCAAAGTGGTCCAGAAGGACATCCAGTCTAATTAGCATATTATGCTTTTATTATTATAGATTAGATATGGCCACCACTGTTGAGAACATTTTTGTAACTTCTCTTTTGAAGTAGACTACAGGCCATTGATGAGATACACATAAGCAACAACATAAAAAATCTGTCTCATCATTTTAGTTATACCTCATTATTTGAGCAAAATGTGGAAAACACCTTGCTTATTAACTACATTTATTTACTTCAAGTTAATATTGAATGACTTGATTGTCTCAAAAGAAACAAATCCTTTCTCAAAAGATGCTGAAAGTGTTCACTAAAGCTTTTCAAATTACCTTTTCAATTTTCTAACAATTAGAAATTTCTAACTTCTCAGCTAAGGCTGTCTAGGATTTTTCCTTTTCTCCGTCTCCTTTGCCCAATTCCTCAACAGTCAAGGATAACCACTGTACCTACCCCTTTAAAACTACTATTATCCTTTGTGTACCTACAGACCAATCATGTATCATTTATTTTGATTTTGTTTCCCTTCCCTGGGCTTAAAAAAAAGGGGAGGTGGTAGAGGAGGGGGGTTAAGGGAAAGAGGAAGTAATAGCAATTCACTTTTGCCATCACTCATTATTTTGCCATTAGCAATAAAATAATATAAAAACCTATGGTTGTTTGTACTTGATTTAACACCATTTAAACAGAATGAACAATGTCTCACATGGATGTACTACTATTTTCTTAAAATATGAAGATTTTAGTGAGACAAGTTAAAAGTGCTACTGAATTAATATAAATCTTTTCTCATTATGCACTGTCTAAATCAATAAACTTCAAATGACAACTATCATCAAGTGGGTCTTATACTTGAAATAGTTGTGAATATTGTTAAGTATAAGCCAGTAAGGGGAAAGAATGTAAGAACATATGCAATTTTTTAGAGGACACATGCGGAAAGAAATCCTGAACAGAACCAATAGGTAATAAAGTAGAAATCAAACAGGCATACTCCTGGAGTAGATGAAAGAACCATTATTAAAGTAACTGCCCAAAGATAGATACGCATTTAAATAATGAAACATAACCAGTCACATAATTTCTAATCACCTATGGGGCCATCTCAGCCTTCAATCCACTCTTCATTCCTCAGAATTCATACCTTCCCATCCCCCAATCATTTTATATTTACAGTGGCTAGCTACGAAAGAAGAATTGGTAGGCAAAGAAGACAGGAAAGAATATGTTAAGTTCCCAAGCCCACTGCATTATAGAGAAATGTGTTCCTAGAGTCCTAAGTTGAAATCATGAGAGCATTATCCAATCAATACATTTTATACATGGTGACAAGATTTACAATAATTTCTTAAGGAAAATGGAAATTCAACAAAATAAGTGTTTTTAATTTAAATGTTATTTTTCAATTAGTTTACATTTAATATTATTTTGTATTAGAGGCCAGGTGCACGAAATTTGTGCACTGGGGCGGGGGGGTGGGGGGCTGTCCCTTAGCCCAGCCTGCACCCTCTCCAATCTGGGACCCTTGGGTGATGTCTGACTGCCAGTATAGGCCATTTTACAGTGTGAAAATGAATCTATTACATTTGTATAATCAGAGAGAAAACATTTTTAAAGTATGTTTTAGTCTTTAAGAATTTATGGGCATCAAAAAGCCATCCTATATAATAAAAGCCTAATATGCTAAGTGTCCAGTCATCCGTTCAACCCATCAAAGCATAATATGCTAATGATATGCTAAGGCCGCTCAACTGCTCACTATGATGTGCACTGATCACCAGGGGACAGACAGTCGACTGGTCAACCAGTCGCTATGACGTGTACTGACCACCAGGGGGCAGATGCTCCAACCGGTAGGTTAGCATGCCGCTGGGATCCGGCCAATCGGGACTGAGCGAGAGGGGCCAAACATGCCCTGGAGTCCTCCCGCAGTCCCTCCCTGGTTGGCCAACCTCCCGCGTCCCTCCCCGGCCTCGATCGTGCACTGTTGGGGTCCCTCAGCCTGACCTGTGCCCTCTCACAGTCTGGGACCCCTCAGGGGATGTTGGAGAGCTGGTTTCGGCCCAATCCCGCAGGCCAGGCCAAGGGACCCCACTGGTGCAAAATGCAATTTATCCAGCCTGCTCCAGAGCAGCTAAATCAGCATTGCTTTGAAACCTACATTTTTAACAAGTATCCCATCCCAAATGATTATGTAAGAACTAAAAATTTGAGAATCACTATTATCCTATATAATAAAAGGCTAACATGCAAATCAACCAAACAGCAGAATGACCAGTCACTATGATGTGCACTGACCACCAAGGGGCAGACGCTCAATGCAGGAGCCGGCCCCTGGTGGTCAGTGCGTTCCCACAGGGTGAGCGCCACTCAGCCAGAAGCCAGGCTCATGGCTGGGGAGCACAGTGGCGGTGGCGGCAGCACTAAGGATGTCTGACTGATGGCTCCCAGACTGGGAGAGGGCGCAGGCCAGGCTGAGGGATCCTCCCAAGTGCACGAACTGGGCCTCTAGTAAACAGTATAAAGAGAAACAGCTTTATTGTCTTCTATTGTCTGAAATGCAAGATAATTCTGCATTCCCTTTTATTCTTGGTAGTTTACTGCAAAAGTCCTACTGGTCCTAAGTCCAGCTTTTGCTGCAATTTCCAGAACAAATACACCATCTAGCCTACACAAATAGTTAGCGCTGAGAAAATTAGTCTACATCTTAACTAAAAATACAGTAAATGGAAGGTTACCAATCACATTCAAACAAAATGTGCAATGTAACTCTAAAGTTTTCTTTTTATACCAAATATTTGTATGTAATACTTAAAACCATCTCTATTTTGAAGTTCTAAGACTAAAGGTTCAAAAGCCATACCTAGCATTAACTAGCTGCAAAATCAAAGGCTTTTCTGTACTCCAGTTTCCATTTCTTTCAATATGAATAATATTATCTACGCAAAGTTTTATTGTAAGATGCAATGATGCAAAAGTATTTAAATTAAATTTTTAGGCAATTAACCAATTATATATAAAGGAATAGCCTTGGTATAAAAAAAGCAATTTCATAGCCAATAAATTTTAAAAAGTTAAAAATCTAGGTTTAATCATGTTTGGGAAAAAGTGAACAGAATTTTAAACTTACATGATCAATGTCAAATATATTATTAGGTTAAAATGAAAGATGACATAATCCTATATAATAAAAGGCTAATATGCAAATTGTCCTCTCGACCGAGAGTTTGACCTAGAGTTTCACTAGGGGGCAGGTCAGGTCCACCAACTGCCCGCGGTCCCTCCCCCAGGCTGGCCTCACCCCCAGCTCCCTCCCTGATCCAGGGTGGGGCCGGCCGGACCCCACCAGTGCACGAATCCGTGCACAGGGCCTCTAATAGATCTAGTAAAATAAGCCTGGTTTATCTGCATCAAAATGGATGTATCCCCTGTAGTCTATTCCAGTCCAAAAGATAGCAGAGACATTCCTTTACAGAGCAAGTCAGTATCAAAAATTTAAGATTAAATTTGAATACAAACTTACCAAAAATAAATCTTCCTTCAAAATACAAACTCAATATTTTTTACTTTATTACTAAATAGTGGCAATAACAAAACAGTAAAAACAACAATGGGTTGAGGAAAAGGGAAACTACATTCTTGTTCTAACTTTGCTTCTGTTAACTACTGATCTTACTCTGGGTCTCTGTTTTCTAATCCATAAAATGAGGGGATTAGGCTTGAGACTGCTCTTGAAATGCCCTGTATTTCATGAAAATACAACGATGAAGCTTACCAGTTTCTGATTTATTCAAAATGGATGAATAGGAGTAGCTTTGGCTGACATAATCACTGGTCGAGCCCACAGAACCTTCTCTTGGAAGTGGACCTATAAGTCTGTCATGCGCACTGTCATCCCCAGTACTGGAATCCTCCTAAAATACAGCATAATCAGTATTTACTAAATGGCAGAAGTGGCTAAAACAATAAAGAAAAGACGTACTAGTTGCTGAGGCAAAGAAAAAAGATGAGGCCTTACTATTATTTTTACCACCAAGACATTTAAAGGAGTGTATACCCTCAACTTTCCTGTAGGGAGGTTTGGACGATGCTTTTTAGAAAACACTTTGGAGAGTTGCTCATGTCTCCTTCCAAAGTTCTTACTTTCCCAATTTTCTTTAATTCTCTTTCAATTACATGAGAAAGAGACATTTTTGGTACTAATAAAGCAAAAGTACAGTTGTAAACTCCTTGATGACAGAGTCCATCGTTAATTTTTACATCATCCTTGCCAAGTAGACCTCGCAGGTAGAGGATACTCAGTAAGTATTGAATGAAATGAAGTTTCCTACTCTCTCCAACAAGAAATCTCCCATTAATGAGAAAAATGTCAAAAAGGATAAAAAAAATATAAAAATAGCACAAACAATTAAGACAAAGCTGAAGAGTAATTACTATGCATTTTAATACATAAATTCTCAAATTGTGAATCCAGAGGTTCCTAAATTTTTTAGTTGATTTCAATGTTGGACTAATCAAAATCTCACAATGTCATGAAAACAAATAATAACATTAAAGCAGATTAGAGAGCACATTCTGATATTGCTTCAGTATGGCTGCTCTATGTTTAATTATTACCTACTATCTAGAGAAGCATTCTAATTCATAATAGACTTCTAAGTGAAAAGCATCAAACAGAACTTTTCCTAAAGAAAGTTTCATTAAAGAGAAGGTTTCTGAAAAAGTCCATAAACTCTTGGAGCCTTCCTTTCTTTAGTCCATAAAATAGCAGTTAAATCACACCAGGTTTTCTCCTCAAATTGGAGTTACTGGGATCGTCTCTAAGGCTATTAGATCAGACAGAAAATCATATCAAAATATGAATTGGAGTAAACACTAAAAGAATAGAAATATATAAAATAATTTACAAACTAGTCATTCTCCCAAAGGCGGCAAGGAATGGGAGCGAAAATGGGACAGTAGAGAATTCTGAGGGTCTGTCCTTCTCCAAATTACCAACAAACCTGGAGCAAAACTGTCAAAGATTTACAGCAATCAAGCGAATGCTTAACCAGAGGAAAGGCCACTGAAATACAGTAGGCGATCTTTGTAGCATTTTAACTTATCCTAGACCTACCCCTGTCCCTGATGTCCTGGTGGTCTTGAAGATGGTAACCTGTGTTTCCAGCATGGCAACAGACTAAACAGACAAACAATAGTGCTATGGATGTCCAGAGTAACCATGTGAACATATACACTTATAACAAACCAACATAAAATAGAAAAGTAATTTATTATACATAAATTATAAAACATATCTCTCCTCCTCCTTTTGGAAAATTGCTTCCCAAGCAGTAGGTGACAGTGCACAAAAATCATGAATAGAGGGCTTTCTAAATAGTTTACCAGCATTATTTGAGGCTGTTCACCATCTTTATCTGTCAAATGTAGAAAATTCTTCTTTCCTGGCTCAAAATTAGCATCAAGAAGAGACTTGTCACTGGTATGATCTAGTGGAGCCTATGGACATAAAGTAAAATATCTCAGATTATGAAAAACATCAATTACAATAATAAAATAAAACATGTAATATGCAAATGGACACACATCTACAATTATTGGGCTCAACTAATTTTTTTAAAGGTTCTGGTGAATTCCACTAATCTATACTTGGAATTAACTCATTTACTCATGTATTGGAATGGCCAAGCCCAGTGACAGTGCATATACTAACTAGGTATCCCAGATGCTCCCATTCCCAATGTCTAAAAAACTGAAAAGAGAAAAAGTTAAGAACTAATGTAAAGTATTACACAAAGAAAGAATTAAAAACATTTGTGCTTTATGTTCTCTAAAATAGATGCAATATAGTATTTAATGGATTTTCATGAAAATTAACTAAAGACAATTTTATATAACTAAAAAACTAAAAATCATGTTTTTATATATGAATTATTGAGAATCCCCAGATAAGCAACACACTAAACAACCCAAAATAATTATGTAGTATAATAAAATGGGCACTTTTAGATAGCCCCTTTAAGGAAAATCCTCTCTTAGTAAATGATACCTATTTTAAGCCCACTGCCAGGATCCAAAGGATCCCAGGAGGATAAAAGTCATCACTCCTTTGAAAATTAAACACCTAACTCTTTTATCTGTTAGGGCAATTTCAATTCCAGCTGTCATTGTAATTCACTCTAGATAGTGATTGAGAGATAGAGCTCAACATGCTCCAAACCCTGCTCACCCACACACACTCCAGTCCATTGCTAAGAAAAATGAATGATGAAATGAACACTCTATTCTTTTGTTCTAAAACATTTTTGTTATAGTAAGAAATGTTTTTTAATGTTTTAAAGACATGGAAATGTTTCCTTAGAAGGACTTATTTTATGGAAAAGCCTTTATTTCTTAGGAAAGTAACATTTTATAAAAGTACAGGTATGTTAAGGACAAAAAAATTAACTTAAGTGATTTTTCCACTTGATATTTATGTGACTTCGGGCAAGTTAAAGTTAGTTCACTTCCCCAACACTCAGATGCCTCAGCTGTAATATGAAGCTATAACACCACCTACCTTTTAAAATGGTTGTAAGGATTAAGTAAGATTATATTTGTATAGAACCTAGTGTTAGAACAATGCTAGGTACCTAGTGAGTGCAAAATAAATGTTAAGGAAATAAAATAAACTATATAATCTATTTCTTATCTTTGGCTCTAGAAATCCTTGAGAAAAACAGGAGATAGAAAACCTGAAGCTAAGAGAAGCCACATAGAAAGAGGAAAGGTATCTTTGGGTCCCTTACATTCCCTGGCAGGGAATAAAAGATCAGATGATATAGCTCGAATATATAGGGGTTTTACCTCAATAAATGTGTCTATGTGTACAAAATGGTGAGTAGCTAAATGGGCTAGGTTTTCAGAGAAGCATACATCTAGCATTGTGCAGTAAACAGGTGAAAGTTTACTTGTAGACTGTAGAGTAGGCAAATATATAAATTGAGTACTTAAGATCAGCCATAGCTGAAGAAAGAGAAATAGTAATCCTGACTCAGAGCTATATGAAGCTATGTAGATGTTAATTTAATAAACACTTTTTGAGTACCTAAGGGGAATATCTATAGAGGATACAAAATTAATACTATGAGATCCTAGCCATCAAAATACATTCTACCAAATGGAAGGACACAAATGAATAACACCTACAATAAGAAGAGACTAATAAGTGGCACAGCAGAAGAAAATATGGAATAGGAGGAAAAAGAGAAAGATATTACTTTTAAAGTTGCATGAGGAAACATCAAGTAAGGCTTCTTCTTAAATGTGAAATACAAACAGGGCTTGGGTAGGCATATATGACAGTATAGACTATCCTTTAAACCAGCAGTGGGGAACGTCCAGCTCAAGGGCTGTATAAGGCGTGAGAAATCATTTGGTCTGGCCCCGTCAAGGCATTAGGCATTAAATGTTGGATCAAATACAGCAGGCTAATTTTTAAGTTGATAATTTTGTTTGGCCCTCGAATGATGTTATAAATATCCAAATGGCCCTTGGCCCAAAAAGGTTCCCCATCACTGCTTGAAACTGAAAAAGAGGCAACACTAGAAGTTACATGGTTAATGGAGTATTCCGAGTTTTAGATTAAATATTATTTCTCTTTGTATACTTTGTGGGACTACCAATTTCAGAAGAAAAATTTGACTAAGTTAAAATATTAGTTCTGTATTTTAAAAAAAACAAATATATTACAGAATAGAAAGCAAAATATCATGAATTTTAAAGGTAACATCAAATACCTTGTATTCTTCTATGGAGCCAATCAAAACTATGCCCTCCAAATACCAACAGGAGACACATTTAATTTCATTTGCCATTACAGGTATTTCCTGGAAAACTTAAGAGTAGCCATAGCATAGGACGAAAAGAGGTAATATAAACAAAAACATGGACATGGAAAATTGTGTTAAGAAAATAAATTAGTTCATTATTTGGGAGTTAAATTACAAAGACTTAAAGGACCAACCATAGCTTGTCTGATTTTTAATGGCGGACAGTGAACAGTCACTGAAGATTTCTAAACTGAAAGGTGACACGAGTGCTAGAATTTAAAATAACTAAAGATAATTCTCAAAGTAGTATGCAGAATGAATTTGGACTGAGAGATAGGAAATAAAAAAGATTATTTAGAATACTATTCTAATGGTGCAGTTAGAGCCAACTCCATAGTCTCATTTACACTCTCCATGCAAAACTGATCAATGCCTCCTCTTTGTACTCATGGCAAATTTATAACATAGTATTTAAAACATGTTAGTGTAATTATTTGTTGATACATCTATCTTTACAACTGGACTGTGAGAACCTTGAAGTAGACATCATGTTACCACCAAACTTCCTGATCAGGGGCCTATCACTCTATCTGGTACATAATAATCTGTTAACATTGGTGTGTATATCCTTTCAGTCATTTCTCTTTCTATATACACTCTTTTCTTCTTTTCCAAAAATTAGATTATAAAATACATAATTTTATATCATGTTTTTCATTAAAAAATACAAAAGGAACATCATTCCATTCAGTAAATATTGAAAGTGTTCTGTAGTTGACACAATATGATAGTCATCTTACATGAATAAAAAACTGATGGTGCTAACTTTAGGATAAGCAAATACTGAATCCAGAATGAAGGCAAAGAGATGAAGAGGGATACAAGTATTGAGTGGCACATGGGCTCTTAATATTACAGTTTTGCTTATATTAAAAAGGGCTCCAGGATTAAATATAGTCATTTATAACAACAATAATAATTATGATGATATTATTAGCCACTTAAAAGAAGATGCTTTAAGTCTAGGGTTTTACCATATCAGCAGTATTGATTCCATTTCCCCACACCAAATCAAAGGTTCCATTTATGTAGCCTACTTTGTTGGCTACATCTTCAAAGAGCTTTCTGAGTGGAGTAGAAGCTGGTAAATTTAAAGTGATCCGTTCATTCACTGTCTTTGAATTAGTAATATCTTGTATTATACATAAGACTCTAGGTTCTTCAGCAGCATTTTCTATCTGAAATTTAAAAAGCACACACAAGTATTATTTATCTTTATAGCCTAATTTTTCTATGATTAAATGTTTTTTAAAAATTCCACAAATATTATTTTGTTTGTTCTAGTATTACTATTTTATGTCTGAAACAATCTAATGGATATGTCAAATATATAAAGCACCATATTTGTTTGTTTTGGAAAAACTGGGGCATCTTTAAAAATAAACAGTCATTCTTGTAGATATTTGCTTTTACCTTTTAAGGATATAAATCAGTGGTCCACAAACTATGAAGACAGTATACTTAAGCAATTTTCAATTGAAAATAACAAAAATCTGATCTTTAAAAATGTTTCATTACCTTGCTAGTCAAATCAAACATGTGTAAGTCTCCTGAAGAAATAGTAAGGGGAACTGTGTAGAAATGCAGTGAGGATTGTTTAAGATTGCAAAATCCATAACTAAGGGATATAGGCAACCAGGCCTCCAGACCTTTATGATACTGTACCCATAGACCAGATGTCCAAAAAGTCCATTATTAATGTATTGGGAGCTGACAAGCTTATCCAAACAAATCAGCCAGCAGAGGGAGAAGTTTAAAAAGAAAAACATTTTTTTAATTACCAATAAAGAAAGTTAAGGTCACGAATTCTCCATCCTCATTTCTCAGTAATTACCAAGACAAAGAATTTAAAGGACATTTTCTCAAAGAAGCTATGTCCCCCTCAAGCTATTGAAGAACACTGATTTTCTTTACCATTTTCCACAGGGTAATAGGCTATATTGGATACTTGTGGAAGAAGTTCTTTCTCTCCTCTCCTAAAATGCCCAAGTCAATGAATGGCACCTTCACTGATCTGGTGAAACCAAAGAGCTGAACATTTTTCTTGTATTCTTCCTCCTCTTCACCTCACACTATCACCAAAATTTTATTCTTTCTCTTTATTTCTGCTTGCAATCAGAATCTTACACTGAGATGATGGCAATAGCTTCCTGAGAAATTTAACTTTTCCAATGTCATCCTCCTTCAACCCAGAATAGTATTTTAATATGCAAATTTGATTATGTAAATATTGTGCTTTCCATCAAAGTAAAATGCAGCAGTTATTTAACTGGAGGACCTCTCACTATCCCCATGACAGGCTTTTTAGAATTATGAACTGTACAAACTGGTACTGTATGCAAGAACTTATTTCTTTTCTTCCTTTTTACAATATAACCTCTCGTTACTTCTATATTATCCATCTATATATATAAACCAAATGACTGAACGACTAGACGACTGATCACTATGACATGCACTGACCACCAAGGGGCAGACGCTCAACACATGGGCTGCTCCCTGGTGGTCAGTGCGCTCCCACAGCAGGAGTGCCTCTCAGCTGACCAATGGGTGCCAGATGCAGGGTTCACCGCTGGCAAGTGCAGCTGCGGCGGCACAAGCCTCTCCTGCCTCCGTGGCAGCAGGCGCAGCGGGGCTGGGATGTGCAGGAGCAATAAGGCGCCCAGCCCGGGCTCAGGCTCCTCCCTGGCCACCTGCTGCTTCACACACTACTACATCCCTCCGGGGATGTCGGATCGCGAGAGGGCGCAGGCCAGGCTGAGGGAGCCCACCGGTGCACAAATCCGTGCACTGGTCCTCAAGTTTTTATATAAGAACTATTATTATCATTGGCTAGTATCAAAGAGAGAATAGCCACAAGGTTTGTTTGCTTGTTCGATGGGATGATACAATTATTTGTTCTGCTATATATAATTTTGGGTTTGCAAAAGATTACTGAAGTTAAGTTTAATCCAATTATTTCAGAACAAAAATAAGTTGTTATAAAATAAGTACAATGTTTAAAACAGATTGGCTAATGATATATTTCAGACACATCAAAATAATTACCAACAATAACCCATTTAAAAGGGAAAAGAACAATACATTTCTATAAATATACAAAAAAAGCATTACTAATATACTTCTCAGAAAGGAAAAAAGCTTTACTTATAAACTTAAGGTGTCATATTGAACATGTAAAGAATTATTTTACACATTTCAACCCAAAACTGAGAACCACAAAGTGGACCTTTTAAAGAACTGGTTTACAATAAAAGAGTGAGCAACTAAATTTCAACTATAAAGGTCCACTTTTACAGTTTCAATAGTATACTTCAGAAGTAGGTTCAAGTTTTCAAGGTATAAAATATATGGTGGCCAGATTTTCAAAGCTTCAGATAAGTTGGAGTTGATCGTCCAAGGAAGATGACCCTAAGAATTCAGAAATCAGAAGTGCTGACACAGCATTAAGAATGGTGATGTGGCAACATCAAATAGCCAGACATTAATAGTTCCTAGTTTTCCCCCTAAATACATGAGCACAAGGTACGGGCACTCCAGCCTCCTCACCTTTCACCCCAAAAATATGGGGAAATTATCCCCAAATGAATCTTATCTGAAGACATAAATGTACAATAGTAAACAAAATTTAATCCCATGTATGTCTTTTATTCTTTTTAATGACAAAAGCTCCTTTCTATTCATTGCATATAAGTAATTTTGCTCCATTTTTTAAAAAATAGAGAGTTTAAAGGAAAAAGTGAAAATCACCTGTTAATCCCATAACACAAGAGATAATTATTAACGTTTTGGTGTATATCCTAGAAATAGTTTTCCTACACACACACACACACACTCCTACGCTTTATAAACACAAACACTGGTTAGAATATAAATGCTACTTTGTAATTTCTTTCTTTACTTATAAATATATCATGTAATCTTTCCCGATCAAAAAATTTAAACTCATCATTATAATAGCTGAATAATATTTTATTACATGAATTAATAATTTGTTCCATCAATTCCATTTTACTGACTCTTAGGCTGGACTTTATTACACTTTTAGAGATAATTTTGTGATGAATATCTATATAACACTTTGTGTACTTTTGTTTCCTTAAAATTCCTACAAGCAGAATTTTTGAGTCAATCATATTTTATTCTTAAATTCAATTCTAGGATAATTTAAACAAACAAAACTCTCTGCTCTTCTTTAAAGCTCTAATATAGTCACTTGTAAATTATATGATTTTATACCCAACCTTCTGGCCCATTGTTTATTACTAATTTAATTTAATATGTGGTTAACATCCATGAACTGAATCTAAATTTTTTATATTACTATTGCCAACACTAATCACAGTTCCCAATCCCTACCTCCCAATTTGGTAACTGATAAAAATTTTTTTCAATTATAGGATACCATCAATAAAGTATACCAATAATTTTATAATAGCTTTTAAACAACTCTATAATATTATATTATACATGCTGATTTAAAAAACATTTAAATGTAAAATGGTATTTTTTAGAATTAGAAAAATAAAGTAGATTTCTTCTTAATTTCTTTGGAGTTCTAACCCTGATTGATCCTACTTAAGGAGGGGAGGAGGGGGAAGAAGTACTGCCATGGAGGAGGGGGAAGAAGTACTGCCATCTTGATGTGAATTAAAAGATAGCTAAAAAATTTTTGCCATTCTTTTTCGTTTTTTTCTTTCTCCTCTTCCCATGCATATGAGCTGGCCTTGTGACCAGCTAGGACCAACAGAATGTGACAGAAGTAATACTGTGCGGGACCTAAAGAAAGCAGCAGCTTCTGCTTTTGAACTTCTAGGAACATTTCCTCTTCTAAGCCAGTCACCACAAAAGAAATCCAGTTAGCCTGGAACCACCATGCTGTGAGGAAGCCCTAACAATCCACACATAGAGAAAGTGGCCAGTTAGTGAAGCACTGAGGTGTCTGATATGTGAAAAAAGCCTTCTTGTATATTCCATCCAAAGCCAGCCACCAGCCAAATGGAGCCAAGTAATGATCTCAACATGTAAAGTAAAGTAACTGACCAGCTGAGCCTTTGCTCAAATCCAATCTCATAGGATTGTGAGCAAATAAACTAGTTGTTTCAAGCACTAAATTTTGGGGTAAGCCATTCCATAGCAGTAGATAACAAAAACGCACCTATATATATTTAAGCACAGGCAAGCTCTAGTTGGGAAGGGTGGTGACGGTGATGTTGTTAAGGGGGTTAAGGAGGACGGTGGCCATTTAAGCACTAAAGCCAATATTAAAATAAGATATCTGAGGACAGAACATAATTTATGAAAGGAAGCACAATTTTTGAGTCAAAAGAGTTCTATGATGAATAAGAGGAAACAGACAAGAGAAAAATGAGTGCCAAGTTTTAGAAAAATCTAAAGAATGCTCCATTAGGGAAAACATCCTATCTAATAAAAGAGAAACATGGTAATTAGCCGTACATCCGCTACCCTTCCTATTGGCTAATCAGGGCGATATGCAAATTAACTGCCAGCCAAGATGGCGGCCGACAGCCATGCACTGAAGCGAACAGGGAGGCTTGCTTGCTCCAGTGACGGCGGACTCCAACGTTCCCCGCATGACTTGCCTGCCTCTCAGCTGCAACTCTAAGCAACTATGTTGCAAATATAGAAGCTAAACAAAACCCCAGAAACCTGCTTTAGTCAGCCGGGCTTCAGCCAGCCGGACCGCAACATTGTATCAAATACAGAAGGTAAACAAAGGCCAGAAACCTGCTTTCAGCAGCCGAAGCCTCAGAGCTAAACTGGCCCAGAATAAAAAAAAAAGAAAAAGAAAAAAAGGAGCGGTTGGGAGCTTCAGTCACCCGCCAGACTGAAAACGGCCCTCAGCCCCTCAGCCAGACTGGCCAGGCACCCCAGTGGGGACCCCCACCCTGATCCAGGACACCCTTCAGGGCAAACCAGCCAGCCCCCACCCGTGCCCCAGGCCTCTATTCTATATAGTAAAAGGGTAATATGCCTCCCGGCACCGGGATCAGCGTGACAGGGGGCAGCGCCCAAACCCCCTGATCGCCCTGCGGCTCTGTGTGTGACAGGGGGGCGGGGGCCACAACCTCCCTATCCGGCCCTGCTCTGTTCGTGACAAGGGGAAGGTGCCCAACCCCCTGATCAGCC